TCACTATGACCGGGCGAGCGAGAGTGACTCGGGGCACGTTGGGCATCGGGCGATTTTAAGCGCCGGCTCTGACCTTCTGCCGTGGGAGTGCCGCCGCCAAGGGCTGCCATGCTCGAGGGAGGCGGGTGAGCAAAGCAGGGAGAGGGAGCGGGAGGGAAGGGAGGGAGGGGAGAGAGGGAGGGATGGGAGAGAGGGCTAAAGAGGAGAGAGGAGGAGAGAGAAGGAGAAAAGATGAGAAGAGCCTAGAGGTGAGAGAGAGAGAGAAAGCGGTCAGGCCGGCGGGGGAGAGAGGAGACGGGGGGAGAGTGGAGAAAGAAGGGGGGTTCGCCGGGAGAGAGAGAGAAGAGAGAGGGAGAGAGAGAGAGGAGGATCAAGAGAGAGGGAAGGTGAGGAGAGAGAAGAGAGAGAGAGACGAGCAGACGAGAGAGAGAGAGAGAGAGAGGAGAGATGAGAGAGAGAAGAGAGAGAGGGAGGAGGAGGGAGGCGGGGAGGAGGGAGGGAGGGAAGGAGGGTAAGAGAGAGAGATTGAGAGAGAGAGAGAGAGAGGGAGGGAGGACCGCAGAGGAGGAGGGAGGTAGGGAGAGCGAGAATGAGGATGCAGAGATAGAGATCGAGAGAGAAAGGAAGAGAGAGATGAGAGAGAGGAGGAGGAGAGATGACTGAGGCCCCTGAGACGAGAGAGACGAGAGAGGAGAGAGAGAGAGAGACAGAGTGAGGGAAAGAAAGAGAGACAGAGGAGAAAGAGAGAGAGTGAGAGAGAGGGAAAGAGAGAAGATAGAGAGAGAGGGAGAAAGAGACAAAGAGACAGAGAAAAAAAGAGGAGAAACCGAAACAGAGACAACAGAGCCATGGATATGCCGCTCTCTACCTCGTTGGCCCGAATATAAGGAGTGATGTTATTTAGCTACGTAAAGTTAGTGAAGATTATCGGTCGTTTTTTTTTTTAATTGTACAAGGCCCGACCTAAAGAATATTCGTATAATTGACATGCATGAATAAAGAAATATATATTTATAGGTCTAGACTGACATGCATGAATAAAGAAATACGTATTTATCGGTCTAGACATACATATCGAACGGGAAAATAGATAAATGTATATCTATCAGGTATATAGATAGATATGGATATATTTCTGTGTATAGGCTTGTCTGTATTTATGAATTTTTCACGAGGTCGGGCCTAGGGGGAGGGGGGATAGAGCGTGGATGGGGGGGGATAACCTGCGTCGTTTCCCCCCCCCCCCCTTCTGGCTTTCCTCTCTTTCTCTCCCTTCGCCTCTCCCCCTCCCCCCCCCTCCCCCCCCCTTAAGCAGACGAATCTCCCGGAATCAATACTCTCGGGGAAGCCAAGGTCGATGGGACATTTGCTGGGATTAGGACAATTTCGAATCAATAAGGCTTTATCTGCACTACAGCAAGGTCTCACTCTTCGTCAATAAATCCAGTTTGTGCATTGTGGGTTTTTCTTCCAAGGCGAGTCGAGTCTTTATGCGATCTTTGAGTCGATTAGCGAACTTGATCCTGCCAGATAATCAGCCATATACTTATTCGCGGGTGCTCGACCTCATGGCTGAACGGAGTGACCGCGTCCCTCTGATTCTAACTTCCCCATGTCGATTTATTCATGAAGTCGCTTGGCATCCCATTAGCCCAGACCGCCATCATGCTGGAGACGACAGACGGACGGTTCCTCCGCTAATGAATCCGTCGCTCTGTCTCCATTATCATCATATTATTGCCATACCTCGTCCGTCGCCGTAACAGCTGATTCGTCCTGCGTGGGATCCGACGAAAAGTCTCGTGCTCTAATTGCCAAAAAGTCTTCATCAAACTTTGCACACGTGATTGCTCAAAATTTTGCAAGGCCACGTGATGATAAAAGGACAAGTGGAGTTCGTATGTTACTTAAAGGTGACAGGTGATGACAATAGACATATAGAAAATATATATTTGAACTTGGAAGACGCGAACCATTAAAATTAGTGATGATCTTTATGACAACTTATCAAAAAACCACAAAAAAAACGTATGAAAAAACAAATACAATAAACTGTGATACCCAGTTATTATTATTCCCTTCCCTTTTTATACCATAAACGGGATTTAGTCATTTCTCTGGCTTTCTGAGCATGACTGTCAATTTCTTATGGCGTTGTGGCATGACCTTGTCTCCTTCTCTCCCCCCCCATCCCCCCACCCCCCCTAGTCACGCGTTCTTCCTTTCCCTGGCTTTCCTTCTCGCCTGACACCGTAAGGCTCATTATTCCTTGCCACATGACAGTTGGAAAGCTTACACTGACCTGTCCATAAAGTCGAAAGTATATAAGGTAATACACAGCGCTCTATGGATGTTTATAAAGGTATAAACTACTTAGAAAACTTGTAATGGTTTTTTTTCAATGCCCTAATTTTTTGTTTAGTGATTCTGCTCTTTTTAAATATGGTTTAATTCTTAGAGTTCGTCGTCCCTAGAAGTATGTAATAATATTCATGGTATATCGCTTTATTATACCTCTAACTTCTTCTCTAGGGGGCTCTACCTCGTCACACCAAGGACAATCCAAGGACAATCTTGAATCAATTTGTCTATTTGTATATGCCTAATTATTTTTAAATGAATTTATGTACATTTAAAATACATGGATTCAATTTTCATTATCTTTTTATGTATGACTCTTAGTATGTCAAGCAATAAACGTCCTTTTGGTACAAGTTAGTTTTCTTATCTCTAGCGTCACATTCCACTTTCTTACGTCGAATGGTTCATGAAATTGATAGCTCCACGTGTTATTGTACAGTATTTGCCTCCCGGGGAACAATTTTCCACATGACTTGCTCTTTTACCATAATCTAAGATCGGAGTTGTATTCTTGGTTCATGAAGTTTGTTGTAAATATCTACCTGTGCCTTTTCACCGTGAATGAGACTGTATGGTACAGCCATTAATATTTCCCAGGCATTTAGATAAAGCCTTTTGAATTTTACAGCACGATATCGCCCCGTGTTCAGAACCACGTGTTCATGAGAATCAAATCCATGACCCACCTCATGGCTCGAGGTACATGTTCACCTTGTTCGGCATCCACTTCCCTCCCCTCGCCCTCCAGCGCCGTAGGAGTGCCTGCCTGGCTGTATAATTCCTCACTGCTCATCTGTTTATCAATATCCATTTATTACGATCTACGTTGATTCCCGCTTGTTTATCCTTCATTCTTGACGCTTTTATTGTAATGCGAATTCGAGGGTTCCTATCCGGTTAAAGACGTTTTGATGAAATGGTTATTATACACTCGGCTCATCTTCTCATCTATTTAACAGCAATCACCTATGGTATGATTCACGTTCCATCAATCACGTGATGGAATCTGATCAATTTCTTCCCCCAAAAAACGCCACAAAAGCAGTTTTAGATTCCCCGAGCATGTCTACGTGAAGGCAAGAGTGCGTCTTCCCGCCCAGCTGATTGAAGGGACATACGGGGTCTTTCATTCTTAAAACGATACGCTTAGACACACGTGGTAATCAGCTGTTGTTATTGAGCTCGATCGTTCATTTGGCTTTATTAAACCAGCCTGTGTACCATTTCGCTTTGTGCATTGGGAGATTTATTAGTTGATCGACACATTAACCGATGCAAATGCCAGGAGCCAATACCCAATACTGACCGCATATTTCACATAGTTTTATCATTAATGCATATTTTTTGATATTTAGATGTTTTATATCATGATTAAGGAAAGAGGGAGGCGTTTTATCTTTATTTACACCAGTTGGGTTCGTCAGTTTTGCTTTTCTAGACTTCAAAAATATATGGTAACCCCCCCGTAGACTTAAGAAGGATAATATATCACGTACCCACCAATAACAATAGGAAGAAAGGAAGGAAATGAAGAAAACAATTATCAGACACTTCCCTCTAAAAAAAAAAAAAAAAAAAAAAAAAAAAAAAAAAAAAAAAAAAAAACACCACACAGCCTGTATCAAGAAAAGAAGAAAAAAACAGTCTGTATCAAACACCGTAAAATAATAAGAAAAACAGTCAAAAAAATTACCTTTCCACTATCCATATAAAACATCATTATAATCCCTCCTTTTACGCATTTATCTTAAATATTAATATAAATATTACCCCACCCACAAATATGATCATTAACATCAGGTGTTCCCAGCGTTAAATATCTACAAAAGAAAAGAAAAAAAGAAGAAAAAAACACACCACACAACCTGTATCAAGCACCGTAAAATAATAAGAAAAAAGAGCATTAAAAAATACCTTTCCACTATCCATATAACATCTTTATAATCACTCCTTTTATTTATTAACTCCCACAATATGATCATTAACATCAGGTGTTCACAGCGTGAATATCTACAAAAGAAAGAAAAAAAAAAAAAAAAAAAGCAACACACAACCTGTATCAAGCACCGTAAAATAATAAGAAAAACAACACACACACACACCACACACACACACACACACACACACACACACACACACACCACACACACACCATATATATATATATATATATATATATATATATATATATATATATATATATATAACAATTATTAAAAATTACCTTTCCACTATCCATATAAAACATCATTACAATCCCTCCTTTTACTCATTTATCCCCCCAAATATGATCATTAACATCAGGTGTTCACAGGGTTAAATGTCCACCGCACCTGGTCCGAGAAGCTCGTTCTGCTCGGAGGCGAATCTGCGTGTCTGCGAGTGGCCGAGGATGCACGGAAGGAGTCGCTCGATGAACTCACCCCCTGACTCACACGTCCCTCGGGGGAACGCAGGGATGATTCAGGCAGGCCACGGTTTCCCTCTCTCTCCTCTCTCTTCTCCCCTCTCTCCCCCCCCCCCCTTCTTGAAAGCAGAA